GTATGCTCCGTATTCCCTGGACCGCTCGTCGCACCAACGTCTCCATTCTCAAGGAGATCGGAATTACTACGAGGCTGTCCACTGTATGCCTGCAGCGAATATTAACTTATTTTGGCCACATTGCGCGTAGAGACCCCAACAATCTGGAGAAGCTTGTGGTTGTTGGTCGGGTTAACGGGAAAAGACCTCGCGGTCGCTCACCTACCCGGTGGTTGGATGCTGTAAAAAACCTAACCGGCCTGACAGTTCAACAAGCCATAAAGACCGCAGAGGACAGGGGCGTTTGGAGGAGGGTTGTGCATCAAGTGACGCGTGCACCAGACTAGACACGACCGTCAGTAATGAAGAAGACGACTAGGAAGATATTGTATTGAACAGTCGATATAATTTATTTTTGATTAAGGAAAGTACCGAATTATATGACGAGGAACGCGACTAGTTTCAAGCCATACTAGAGGCCCATGTTCATGAGCAGCATACCGCGGTGTTTATGGTCGTTGTAATAAGACGTTTATAGTTACTTTGGCATTTATTTATATATATATTCATTTACTTACAGATAAGTCAACCAGCAACTCTCCAATCGTCGCGGCCCCCATCTGAGGCCTCGACGGGATCAGCTTTTTCACTGAAAGAAGGATCAGTATCCCGCATCCCAGAACCCCTGCCCAGAGCCAGATCCCGAACTCAAATAGTGCATGGAATACCACAAACAACTGTGTAATGTTTGTTACCCTATTATTGGTAAGCGAAATTTGTTGGCTTTTTATTGTACGCAGGAATACGTATTGTAATGCGTATACGCTGTCATTGTTGCAAGGATTTTGTTAAACTTATGTATGATTCGAAAAGTAAATAGCGTGCAAGCCACGCTAATCAAACCTCCTTAACAAATATTAATTCAGTTTTAACTTTTACAAAAAACTAAAATATTTAAAAGATATTTTGAATCTACACTTTTCGGATCGGACATAAATAAGTTCTTTTTATAAATGAAATTGATGCGAATATTTTTATTAGATATTTTTATCAATTGCGCACTAGTAGGAAACAATAATTTGTGAATTTATTACATATCTTTTTAATAGTCGTGTTGGATGAATAGTAACGCGAAATACTTAAATATTAATTTAACTAAAAATCGCGGGTTACTCACGTGAATATACTGAGAAAAGCTCTACTAGTTTCGAACCACAGAGGAGTTGTTCCTCATGAGCAGCGTACTCGGTCGCGCAGCCTACTTATCCCGCGATTTTTAGTTAATTTAGTATGTCTCCCGATCGTTATTATAAAACAGACTTAACTACTGTTTACGTAGATACGATCTCTTACAACGTTTATGTACAGCCATTTGGTGAAAGGCTGAAATACAATAACAAAAAAAAAGACTAATATATAAAGGCAGCTAAAGATGTATAGACAACGCATTTTCAGTTTTACAACATCGCGATTTTTTTACGTTTCTAAAACTGAGAAAAATGTAAGCAGTTTATGCCCCAATATTTGCGATATGTAATTTTAAATATCATTATAATATTAGTTTATAATTGTGACATTCCCAACCACCGCAATGTTCAAGAAGCTTATATATTATTATAGATACGTTAATGTTATTAAGAATAATTTTTATTGATGATAAAATGAGCAAAATACAAAATATTATCTTAATAAGCGATGTAGACCTTATACAGTTAGATGCCTGTACTAGGAAAGCCCTGTATCACAGGCGAAAGTAGCTTTAACATTATATACTAATTTAGGACATCTTATTTCTATAAACCAATATTACTTATCATGACTTAGCAAATTTTGTATTTTGCTCATTTTATCATCAATAAACATTATTCTTATTCTGATTATTCTTAATGTTAGTAAGAAGGCAGCTTTAACCTTTTTGTAGAATAAGTGCAGGTTTCTTTTTATACAGGGTAAACGGAACGCTCCCGAGACATTGACAAAAAGAAATTGTTTTTACAATTATAATCGGTTTTTGTTTTCATGTTGTTCATGCAACATTAGCCTTGAGCAGTCGATTACAACTATATATCTATCTATAGAGGTATATAAATGACTGCCTCGTTAACCGAGTGGTCGCTAGTGCGACTGCCGGGCAAGGAGTCTCGACTCCTCCGCCTCCTCAAGCAAGACTCCTTGCCGGAACGTGGATGTTCTTTTCAAAATATGCATTGCATTCGCATTTCGGAGAAAAGACATAACATTACGGGCGGTCTCGGGTTCGATTCACGGGTCGGGCAAAGTGTTACTGGTTTTTTTTTTAATTTCTCAGTAGCAGCACGGAGTCTGTAATTGTGCCCGGCATATGGCAAATGGCAATAGGCTCACCCCCTATTACATGGGACTCATAACATAAATAGTGAAAAGTGGGTGTAACTTCTGTGTGTACTTCTGTCTACCCCTTTAGGAATAAAAGGCGTGATGTTATGTTATGTTAGAAACATTTAATTCTTAACTTTTATGCAAATTAAACTAGTTTTTTTCATCACCTGTCGGCGTTTATCGGGAGCGTTTCGTTTACACGCTGTAGTACCAAGTAAATAAGTAAATAGTATTATTGGACGTATATTTTACACGCTCGTGCCTCTTCTAGTAATACTGAAAGTATGGAAAATTTGAAATGAATTGATTTTTATATACAAAAAAAAAGTTTATTTTTTACTTGTTTATTCATTGTTATTATTATAGAATTTTCCTTTATCGCGTAACTATTTATTTACTTATCTCAAATGCCATATATTTAAATTATATACTCCGGTTCTATATTGTATTCAGTAATTTGAATTTATGAAAGCGATTGTCAAATATAATGGGTATAATCTATTTTAAAACAATAGTATTTTTTTCTCACCCGCTATTACATGGGACTCATAACGTAAATAGTGAAAAGTAGGTGATACATTGTACAGAGGTGTACCTACCTCTTCGGCAATAATAGGCGTGATGTTATGTAATATTTTAATCGGTAAGATTTAAGATTTGTGCCTTTTCTCTAGCAAATAAGTATATCAATTTAATTATTCTTTTTACAATATAGAATTGAATATTAGACTGAAACTCGATTCCATATTTACCTACTTACCTGAATGTTGTGTAATTAGCAACTCTATCGGCAAACAAATTAGGTTAAAAATTGTTTCAACGAATACATTTCGTTATAATTTGAACAAGTTCTTTTTGAACTGGTTAGTTTTATCACCAGTATTTTTTACCTAAAAGGTATTATGTATTTTGTTTTGTTTTAAGTAATATGTACCTTATTTCTAATTAGTTTAGGTCGATACTGCACTGCGTTAGAACTTATTTACTAGATAAATCATTAAGTCGATACGACACGCAGCTATGTTTATGAGCCCTGAGTGCACAGCACGAATAACTATCGCATTCGTAACGTAACAGTATCGAGAGAGTTAAGCGTTCTGATTGGTTGGTTCATTTGAGCCGGCCATTCAGAGTGCCAAGCACGAATGACTATCACATTCGTAACGTAATAGTATCGAGCGCGTTCGGCGCTCTGATTGACCGACTCAAGTAAACCAACCAATCAGAACGCTTAACTCTCTCGATACTTGGCCCTCTGGTGTAGTTCGGAAATGATCGAGTTTTACCGTATTTTTTTTTGCCCAAATAATAAAAGTGAGCTCAAATTCTCGCACAGTAATTTTATTTTTATTTATAAGCGCTGCAGTATCAATCTTATAAATATAATTGTATTTAGTATTTAAGTATAAATGTTTGTGATCGTTTTGTCCGTCCATCTATAAATATGTGCAATTTGTCTACTTAGTGCCCTAAGGTTTTGATACGAAATATATTTATTATTATAATTTAAAATATTTTTTCTCGTGGCACCGAACGAATAATGCTTGCTGTGTATAGTTTGAAATTAAAATTAATTATTAATTTAAACTGTGGTTTTATTTTAAAATTAATCCGTTCTGGTAAGGTATTAAATCATAACTAAAATCGCGGGTTACTCACGTGAATATACTGAGAAAAGTAGTGAATATACTAGTAGGAAACTAGTGAATGTAATAGAATATTCACGTGACTAGTAGAGTGAGCTGCGCGACGTCGCCGCGACCGCGCACGCTGCTCATGAGGAAGAACCCCTCTGTGGTTAGAGCTTTTCTCGGTATATTCACGTAAGTAACCCGCGATTTTAGTTAATTTAGTATGTCTCACGATAGTTATTATAAAAACAGGTATTAAATCTATTTCATTGTAAAAAATGACCCTCGATAATACGATTTTTCTGAGACCTTTTAGTTGAAATATTGTTTGAATAGGGTAGTTGCCTGAATTTTATTTTAATGTCCATCTGGTAGATTAATTTAGCCTCCTTCGTCCTTCCTTTAGCCACGTATTTTATCTTTTCTCACAAAATTAAATACTTTCGACGATATATTAATTTGAAATATCGTGTGACGTCACAATGCGCTACATTTTGTAGCACTTTGTGACGTAACGACTAGTTACAGTAGCAGCGCGACAGTCGCGGATCGCGGAATGCTGCTCATGAATATGAGCCTCTAGCGTGGCTTGAAACTAGTCAAGTTCGTCCTCAAACAGTTACGTAAGTGATCCGAAAATATAGTCACGAAAGTTTTAATATAAACAACATGTAATTATGTATGCACTTCATAAGTTGATACTAACAAGCATTAAATAACCAAAACAGATTTATCATTCATATAAATATTTCAGTATCTATATGTCTATCAACTTTAGTACTATCACAGCGCAGCTCCGTCTTATTTTTTTCTTTTTAAAATAACGTTGCCCCACACTAGGATTTTCTCCTGTGTCGTGGGTGCGTTTACAAACATACAAGTTCACATACACATGACACCCAGACCCGAAACAACAATCTGTGGAGCACACAAAGAGTTGCTCCGTGCGGGAATCGAACCCGCTGCATGATGCGCGTCAGCCGGTCGCCCAGCCACCGCACCAACCGTGCAGTCAATATCTCTTCACTCTCTTTCTCTCTTTATTAAACTAGTCACATTTCTTCTCACATTTGCAAACTGATGGTAGTTTCCTCGAAATATAAGGCGGGGAACACACTGGGCCGCATATCTTCTTGGAGTCTCTACCGCCGCGTGGTATGAGTCGTCCAGGCTTTATCATTAGGTCTACTATGTAGTTCGCTCTGAGCAAACCTGCTGGGAAGTTGTGTACTTTCTCGCGGTCTTCTTCCTGTTGGTGATAAAAAACAAGTACCGATAATGCTTTTTCTTTTCTATAAAAAAAAAATCCTTACTATATGTTACAAACTTTTACATATATAATTCACACCCAGCCACAGAATAGATTTGTAGATGGTACAAAAACAAAATTGTTCTGTGCGAAATTTGAGCCCGTGATACGTAGCGCGGCAGCCATTGTGCCAAGACAAAATGACAGTATTGCTATACAGTCACCTTATTGCCATACCAAACAGTTAAGATCTTAGAGTTACTATTTGAAACAACATAAATAGCCTTATGTGATTATATTATGAAAATGGATGCATTGTACAAATGTACACTCCTTTTTGTAATTACGTATTGTTTAATAAATAGCAGAACTTACTGGATCAATCTCAGGCACCCCCACCTCGCACCATGCGTACGCGCTGCAGGAGCGGAACAAGGCGCACGGTATGCCGACTCGGTCCGCCAGCACCTTGTACAGCAGCGCCCTCTCCAGCGGGCCGCCACACTTCACGTAGCCCAGGCCTATCACTGGGGACGCTAGGTCCGACTGCCAACATTATTACAGTAAATTTAAATTGTAATTTTGTTGTTGCCATATGTACCATGTGTATAAGCAACTTATAAAATTGTGCAACAATTTTTTATATTTGATGTGCCGACGTTAGACCACTATTTCGCCTGGTGGCAGAGCGATGCGGCCTACGATGAAGCACGTCGTCCCATGAGCAACCTATTCACTCGGGCCTTGAAGACACCCAGGTTATATATACTCTTTAGGAAATATAGACTGGCAAATTCCACTCCTTAGCAGTACGCACAAGGAAGCTTGATGCGAAGCGCTTCGTGCGTGAGGGTGGGACATTATGTGCTGAATCGGTGACGCTTTGCGGATTGCCTTGTTACGATATTTATTCTGTAACTTCCAATTCGAAAGATCAAAGTGAACTCCATCGCGGTCCGTCGTGCCTTTGGCTGTGAGAATAATCTCGACCAATGGCGAGCGAGAATGCGATCGAACTTACTTCAAGTTCAAATTGACAGTTACAGCCTAGCTGGATAATGAGGCCTCCTTGACGTGAGAAGGTTTACCATAATCTCCATGGTTTGAAGCTGATTAGAGATCGTATTTCAAAAACTTTAGGTTTATCAGAAAGCCTGGCTGCCCTTAAATCTCTTAGTAGAATTTTATACACCCACGAGAAGAGTAGAGGTGGTGACAAAATACATACATAATTTCATGCCTATCTCCCATGGCGGGTAGGCAGAGACTATGGAACGCCAATTGCTACGATTCCTATATAACATAATATTATTATAATGTATTATATTTTGCTGTCACCTTACTGCTCGTGGATAACAGACTTGGGGGGTAATGGATGGAAATACTGAATAAAGTAAGGTAAAAATACGTATAAGTGTGGGAGAGCCATGCTTTGGCACGAATGGGCCAAAAATCGACGTGAAGCAACGCTTGCGTTATATTTCGTCGTGTGAGTGAGGTTATCGCAGTCCCAATTACCCCCCCCCCCCTTCCTCAATCTCCCCGATTGCTTACTATCAGGTGATCCGTCAGCTCGTTTACCGGCTTATGCCATAAAAAAGTTATAGATTTTCTTGATAACTTATGAAACTACCTACTAAGTCTACTAACATATATTTCTATTTACCATAAGATCAGCAAGATGTAAGTCTACGCTAGGCATGGAACAGTCCCTTTCCTGCGTGAGTCCACTCATTTGTTCCGCCACGTACTCCCCCAGTAGCTGCGCGCGCTGCTTCAGTGACGATGATACTTCTTCGCACTTCTCCCGGTATCTGATCGAGTATTGAATGTTATAGAATTGAGTTGAGCAATTAAATTGACTTGCTAAACATGTATATCACTCTCACCATCTGTCTGATCTCTTGCTTGATCACAAACTACTTTAGATGATGTTGGGTAGAATAGAATAAAAGATGTTAAATGTATCTAAACTATTGTATTGTTCCAAAATTAAAGGTAAATGAAGTAATGAACTGATGTACGTGTGAACTTTAACGTGGCCTTTGCTGGCCGTAATGAGAACGCCGGAATTGATAGCTCGACGCGAACTAACTATTATTATAAAATGAAATGAATGTGAGGCGTAAATGCTGACGATGCTATACGCTGTGCGGTTGCACCGTACACCATCACTCATGGAAGTATGATAGACAGTTTTTTTTAAAGAAACGTTGCCCCACATTGGGTTTTCCTCCTCCGGTGCATTTACAAACATACAAGTTCACATACACCTCAAAAGTTGTTCCGTGCGGGCATCGAAACCGTGACACGTAGTGCGGCAGCCAGTTGCCCAGCCACTGCACCAATCGTGCAGTCAAATAGGTACCAATATAATATGTATTTTCAAATGCGTTACTATCCTTAGCTACCATTTTTTGCTCGTCATAGAAAGACCTTTTCGTCCAATCACAGCAGCTGTCAAATATAGAAATCCCAATGGTGTGACACTAGCTAATTCCCTATTGGACGAAACACGAGAGCTTCACACTATCACCATCTAGTGGGCAAAAATGCAGTCGCCCCCATTAAATGCTACTTAAATCAAATTCACTTACCTCACTTCGTAATGAGCATCTTCTATCTCAAAGTAATGCAGTGATCTTGCTCTGAGGAAAAATAAATAAAATGATATATCGAACAGCCACAAGTTCTTAGGAATCGTACTTGAAATAGAAATCTGTTATGCAGGTTTTTGAGATATAGAGATTAGGCCGGTAAACTAGCAGGCGGATCACCTGATGAGAAGCAATCGGCGCCGCCTGTTACAACCCACAGACCCCGCAGTACCTTAGAAGTTACAAGTGCGTTGCCGGCCTTATTAAGGCCCTCTGATAACCTCATTTACAATAACTACGAAATTATTGTACTTATAATGGTTTCTATAAAAGTAAAGACACAAATTTTTTGATAAAGATTTTTAACACTCACGGGTCACCGAACCATAGGCGTAGCTTAAGAAGATACTCCCGTAGGTTAGAGTCATCAGGTACAGGAGGGAACCGCATCCTTCCAGAGATCGTCGACAGTTTAGAATCAGACAAGCGGTCTGGTAATAGACATTGGGTACAATCAACCAATCTATTTAATATACAGGATGAGTATAAACAGACAGTTTTTATTATAACATGAAATTATACACTTTTTACATAACATAACATCACGCCTTTTATCCCCAGAGGGGTATGCGGAAGCGCACATTACGGCACTTAATGACATTTTACAATGTTAAACCCACTTTTCACTATTTATCTTATAAGTACCTTGAGAGCCTATTGCCATATACCAGGCACCATTCCAGACTTCGTGCTACTACTGGAATATTTTTTAAAAATCCGCCAATACTTTGCTCCACCCGGGAAACGAACCCGAGACCCCTTGCCCGACCCGGCAGTCACACTTGCGACTACTTGACCATGAGGCAGTCAGTATTTAACATATATTTTTAATAAAACCATATACTTTATAATCATTGGTCGCCTGAATAGCTAAACAATGATTTAGGAGATTGAAACGAGACCTCTGATTGGCCGGCTCCAATGAACCAACCAATCAGAGCTCCGAACGAGGTCTCGTTCCGATTATTTTAAACGTAAGAAAAATTTGTACTAAGCTCTCTGATTATGATCTCCGGCCACCGTACGCGCGGGCCTGCGGACAGCGAGCATGGGTGGCTCGCCGTCCGACCAGAACCAGACTCGAGCGTACGGAGCGTCGCGTTCCGCGTGCGCCTTAAACAGCCATCAGGCCACCACAGATGGGGCCCAATAGGGCTGATGCCGATAGGGAGCCGTGGAGAACTTAACGGGTTACTGGGGCTCCGGCTCGAGGCGCAGGAGTAGGAACGGGGTAGTTTTTAGTCAGTAAGAGTCTGACACTCCCTCCCGCCTCATTCAGGCGAGAGAAGATCTTTGATGATTTTCCCCCTTAAAAAAAGCTCTCTGATTGCCTCACGCCCGAATACTGAAAAGCTACTCAATTTTAAGTGGTACTTAATTAATGTCCCATCTCTGTCATTTTACAAAGAATTTGTTGTGACAGAATTATGCTTAAAGCACGACTTGAACTTGAGTGATGTTTAAGTATTTCAGCGTCAGTAAAGTACAAATGAAACTTACAAGAGCTCGCAAGATTAGTTCCCGAGCCGACATCGCGTGATGGTTGCAGGAACATGCAAAAGAACACGGGGTTGCGAGGCCGACCTGTCTGCGTCATCACAGTCTGGATGCTGGGGAAACGGTCGTCGAGCCGTTTGAGGCAGTAGAAACCCTCCTGTAAAGAGATAGATAGGGGATTAACCAGTATAATAATGCGTTCAGGGCACTGTTGCGGCTTCCACGTTTCTGTAGTGCGTCAGCAATGTTTGCTGATGCTCACACTGATGGATTCGCTGCTTTATGGCGCAAAAAGACTGCATCGCTCATCAGTCACCTGCGTGGAAGTCGTCACAGTATCCTGACTGCTATAGTCGATAGACATGATTGTCCATTGATGCGTAAATTAGTGCAGCGGACTAAGTCCCTGTTTACTATTGCATATTAATATTGTATCTAAGTATAGTTATATATTGTGTTCTTTCTTTACTGTTATTTCGATGGATCTCAGTGATCTGAATAAATAAACTGTATTATTATTAACAAAGACTTTTCATGCATGAGGATGCGGGTTCAAAACCTACCAACGGCAAGTACCAATGTGACTTTTTCCGAGTTATATGTATATACTTTTTAAGATCTAGATACTACTGACAAACGGTGAAGGAAAACATCGTGAGGAAACCTGGGATAATAATTTCTTATTATAAGTTTGTAATCGCGAATCCGCATTGAGCAAGCGTAGTGATTAATGCTCAAACCATCTACGTGTGAGAAGAGGCTTTGCTCAGCAGTGGGCACTTATAGGCTGTTAATGACTCTTCCTAGGTATGTCAGAAGAATAGACTTCTGGACTAAACCTAAACAAATATATGGTGTGAAAAAAAAATTGAATATGGAAAAGTAGCGTAGTTACTTTGTGATATAATCAGTGCCGCAGTAGGTAACCGTCAGTTAAAGAATGTGACGAGGGTGTGATTGCTGCTCGAAATAATTTTATAAGCAAATTGTTATTTCAGATATAGGAGCGATATGTAATATATGTTATGTGTAAGTAATATGTGTGTTTGTAAACATACCACGACATATATGCGAAATGCGAAAATCCTAGTAGGTATGTATGTATTTTTTAAACCAAATAGGTATGTACTGATAATGTATCTGTTGGTACGTAGATATGTACTTGAGTGAAGTCATTAATGTCCAGTCTGCCTGTGTAAGCCAGCTTGGCGGACGGATGTCGGCGGAAGATGGCCTCCAGCGCTGGTTCCCACGCACTCACTATGTACCGCGCTTGTCTGCTCTCCACCATACTGAAAAATTAAAAAAGCAATTTACCAGCCGAATACATTATTCTCGCACAATCGAACCAATAAGACTACGTAACTAGAGAATTGTATTGTGAACCTGATTGAAAAAGAGTAAACTATGGAGTCTCTTGCTCGTTCTTCTCCATAGGAATCTACACATTGGAATGAGCGAATAGCTTCACTTTAAATATTTTTTGTTGACGTTCAAAAGTGCCTTCCTGGTCTAATTGAAATAAATGATTTTGACTTTTTGGGAAGTATTTGAACATTTTAAAACAGACCTCATTATAAATATAAAATCATCACTCTGTCAATACAAATTAGCTACTTAAAAAATATAACACAATTTGTAATGAAAAAGGCGCCCCTCATGCAACGGCTATAAGTTCCACTGCCGACAAATTCCGAATTATGTTTTTCGATTTTGCGAAATCTTTTCAGAATCCATCAAGCCGAAATGTGTCTAGTATATGGTAATAGGCTCACTCATTATTACATGGGACCCATAAGTATGCTAAAGTGTTTAAAACGTACTAACTAGTGTACAGTCCCTAAGTCTAAGTATATGTCTGCTCCCTCGTTGCTGACGCTGGCGATGATGAACGCGCACAGCGCAGTGGCCAGCCCTACGTGTTCTATGAGCAGGTTCTTTGATATCACCTGCAGAAAGCAACATAACTAGAATAACTACTTCTAAATACCTAAGAAATGTAGATTTGTTTTCATAATAACTATCGTGAGATATACTAAATTAACTAAAAATCGCGAGTAACTCACGTCAATCTACGTCGATCCGCAGCGTCTCTATAGTTTGGAGTATAACACAGTAAGCGTTATATGTAACACTGACTTTGTGCCGAACCCGGAATCGAACCCGCGCCGCTGGTGAACGTACCGTGCGCTCTAACATCGTCCAACGCGCCGCCGGAGTTGGAAGCAAACGCTCATGGTGTCCGGCAGAGGGCGCAGTGGGCTCGCTGCGCAAGTAGCAACAGCGCTAACGCTGGCCAATTGGCTGCGCGACATCGCCGCGACCGCGCACGCTGCTCATGAGGAAGACCCCCTCTGTGGTTCGAAACTAGTAGAGCTTTTCTCAGTGTATTCACGTGACAACCCGCGATTTTTAGTTCAAATGTATTTTTGTAAAAGGCGTGACACCTAGTTTCTGTCTTTGATGTTAATGACCGATCTCGATCCTAGTCTTTGGATTCCATTTTTGACATTACCTTGTTGTATTGAATTTTTGTCAATAAACTAGACTGATCCAGAGATTTTAGTTTATATAGTATGGCTAAAGGCGTTCTTTTTTCCTCATACAAATTTCGGAGAGGTTTTCCACCACTGTTTAGCATTGTACATCCAAAATTTGACATGATATCTGTCTCATCACTTTGTCGGTACGGTTTTATAAATGGAAAATAATAAATCAATAAAAAGTTATAAGCAAACAGACCTTATGTTTTCTTGCTAATTATAGCCCAATTTTGGGTGCAAATTAATAACAAAACAACTATTAAACGGCTATATATTCGGCACGGCCACAAGCAAGTTCGAGCTGTGAACTAAACCATTCTATGCTATCTATCTATATTTCTATAAATAGGTTAATAATTTTGACCGATAGCGGACACAAGATCCTTAGCGGATGTGGAGATCACATAGCAGACAGAGTTTTGACTTACTTTAAAATATTGACATGCAAAACTGTACTTTAAATGCAAGTAGTCATAGTTTATTGATAAAATAAAATACTCACATCCTCGCCTTTCTTCAAGGTGAACAGATCCCTAGCTATCTCCTCCGTCATCAGACCGGTCAGTACAGTGCACGTTAGGATCTTCAAACTGATGTCTGGACGCTGGGAATGTATTTATATTAATTCAAAAAATGTTCTTTAACTCGTCGAGTACCGGTTTTGTAGACACAATTATAAAACAATAGGTTGCGGTCACCGGTGACCGCTTGGTGTTTGACAGTTTAATACATTACAGATACAAATACTAACTGATCACTTAAATCTTAAAAAGGTAGGTACTATAGTATATGGGTGAAAACGAGATGCCAAAGATGGGAGGCGCTAGGTGCAGTCTCAAGCTTCTTTGGCATGCCGTTTTAAACCTTATGCCACAGTAGTTAAGGTTTATTTTTAATGGTTTATTCTTAGTATCTTCGCCACACTTCCGCCGGTTTGCGCTAAGCCTAAGTAGCTGGCTACTGATCCAGTAATAGCGATCAAAATACAATAAGTACCTACTACCATGTGGAACCTAAGTATTCTGCGATATTTTAATTTCGAAAGATAATAATTTAACTTCATATACAGCCGATATTGAACTTTCATACACACTAAATAAAGTAGGTAATACTTCACCTGCAAGATGGCGAGGAGTTCAGCCATGAAGTCTCCGTTGACCATGGCCTTCTTGCTGACGTGATATATCTCCAGGTTGATGTAGCACTGCACCGCCAGCCTCTGAGCTTCGATGGGAGTCTGAGCGACTGTTGACCACGAAATATGAACTGTCAGCCAACTTATTATGTATACAGGTACCTAACAAAATATATAAGAATTCAGTACTGACACAGTAACCATTCTTTTTTTATTTCGAACATTGCCCCTCACCATAGTGTCTCCTGTGCTGTGGGTGCGTTTACAAATATACAAGTTTACATACACATGACTCCCAGACCCGGAATAACAATTTGTGAATCCTTCAGGAATGAAGTGGCACCATAAGAAGAAGAATAACTGCTCGCCTAAAGAATGTTTCGAAAATATTTTCACAAACATTTAGACATTGATATGTTGCGTATGAGAGCAAAGTTTCATTAAAATCGGTTTAGATCTTCCTTTGATATTAGACTTCAAAGTTGGTATGGAAACTCAAATAAGTAAAACTTGAGCACCAGCTAAAAATTTTTCAAAAAGGCGCCATGCAAATATCACTCTTAAAATGTATTAATTATAGTGTAAACTCACATTTTTTGTTGACATTTCTGATAGCGGTAAACGGCTTGCTTTCGACGACAGTGAAGGCAGCTTTAGGGATCACTCGACATAGCTCCACTATGGCTTTCAAAGCGTTCAGTCTGATGGAGAACCAGATTGCTGAGTCATCTGCGACGATCACTGAAAGAGAATAATGATTTTAGTCAAGCGATGATATACAGGCCGCTCGTTTAAATGTATGCCTATTTCCTTTTAATGGGATTACTTACAAAACTGATGAAAGGGGAATAAGTGGTTACTATGGTTATCCTTTCATCTTATCTTATACTATTATATAAAGCGGAAGAGTTTGTTTTTTTTGTTTGTTTGTTTGTTTGAACGCGCTAATCCCCGGAACTACAAGTCTGATTTGAATATTTATTTTTGTGTTAGATAGCGCATTTATCGAGAATGGCTATAGGTTATAAAACATCACGCTACGACCAATAAGAGCTGAGCAGAGCGTGTGAAACCGTTCGGAAGTAGCTAGTATAATGGTTCGGTTGCTACGTCTGAAATTCCATTAATCAATTTTCAACATTTTTACAAAATGTGTAGGGTTGAATATCTATTGAAATGTAAGAATTAGTGACCAAATAGATACCTAGTAAAAACATTATAATTTACAACATACCACACAAAGCATCTATAATATTGGTATTATCACACATGCGCACAGCCGACGCTAGAAGCTGCGTCATGTTGGCGACGCCCATCGCCGCGTCAGCCAACAAATCCACGTTGGAGCTCAGTAGCTGGTTGCAAAACACCATGTCGGTCTCCGTGTTGAATAGAGCCTGGAAATATATAGGTACGTGGTACATTGCAATAAACTACTTCAAAAACCCATGACAACTCCTGAAGTAAAATGACCATTATCGTAACCCCTCAAGGTAACGAAGCCTAGCCTTGGTACAGCGATATGACATGACTGAACATCCTGTAACTTTTTTTTTTTTTAAGGGGGGAAAATCATCGAATGACTGCTCCCGCCTGGGTGAGGCGGGAGGGAGTGTCAGACTCTTACTGACTAAAAACCACCCCGTTCCTTCTCCTGCACGTCGAGTCGGAGCCCCGGTTACCCGTTAGGTTCTCCGCGACATCCTGTAACTTTATAGGGATTGAGACAGTTTATACGACGAAGTGAGATTTTAAGTCGCTAAGTACGTAAGAGGGACCGAGCATATTACCATGCACTAGAAACTCCTAGAGGGCAGAAACACATAAATGCATTGCGTCGCCGCAATGCTAAAATCGGCAGTTTGCATTGCGGCGTTGCGGCGGCGCCGCGGCGTCGTGAAAAAGAGCGTTTTATTGTCGTTCGGTAGGGTAACCAGATCGTCGTGATTTTTTTATTGTGGATAGAAGTGTCTCTGCCATGGACCATCGTGAAAAACTTATTGCTTATTAGTTATTAAGAAGACATTACTCTGCTATGCTGGAACGAGCGCTGCGTTGCGGCGCCGCGCCGCTTAAATCGGCAGTGACGCTAATGTCGATTCTAGCGGCGCGGCGCCGCAACGCCGTTATGAGTTTTGGCTCAGATAGGTTATTTTTCCAACTCGATAACCGAATCAAAAACAAAATATGTGCACCTACCTAACTACTAACTAACTTAAGTTTTTTATGGAATAGGAGGCAAACGAGCAGACGAATCACTTAAATGGTATGCGATCAGCACCGCCCATGGACACCCACAACACCAGAGGAGTCACAAAACCTGTGACTCCTCTGGAATACGCTCTATTCTTGAAGGTTTTAGGATCATATCAGTTCGTAAATACCGTCGACGACAGATCATTCCACAGTTTACATTTCCATTCAGTTACTCAAAACAACCGTAATCTAAAATGAAGCAAGCAGAAAACAACATATAGGTACCTCTCTTCCATTAGCAGTATAAGACATTTTAGTAAGGACAGCCAAGCAATGTGGCTTCATAGCCGGCAGCGCCACGTCCAGATAGGCGAGCAGACGAAGGATACATCCCGACTGGTAGATGTGTGACGCATTCTCCTCAGTCTCGACGTAGTTGCGGAGTACGCCCAGCACCATTGCGTGGACGTCACGGAATTCATACGACTGAGGAAACAAAGACATAAACCTATTGTACGGTCCTAAAATGACTGACGTACATATTTTGTTTCTATAAATACCGATACAACATAATAAATGAGTGAGTGCAATTACTGCAACGCGGTAACCAACATTAGAGAAAGGAATCGTCAACAGTTTTATTGTGAACACAATTAAACGTTCTAAATCTAACTAAGTGAATCTTTTCTCTTCGCGCTCCAACCTCAACAAACACGCTGCAAGTGTACGCACCGTACACCTATCATTACGTATTGCCTGTAAGAAGAATATTTTCGTTTCGCAGCGCCAGTGACCTACTATGTATGAGACCATCAAGACCAATGTAATAGAGGGTAGGTGAACGTATTTTCACAACAAGACAGTTCACGACCTGTTACCTATTGTTGCGAATTTTCCTAATTACCCTTGATCTTACCTATTGTTGTGTACATATTTAGGTGACGTTGTGATGTTTTAATAGATGTTTTTATTATATAAATTTAAGAGACAATTTTCAATTGCGTGAACGTAGGTCAGTTACAACTAAATCACCAAATAAATGACCTATATAATTACCAAAAAAATATGTAAACCAAAAGCAGATAGGTAGGTAAGTGGTTACGTATATCTAGGTACAATTACTCACCTCCAATATATCGCAGAGATCCAAAACACCAGTAGAAGCTCGGAACGTCTTCTGCACAACCTGGTCCTTGTATCTGCAGATCAATTGGTCCACGGTTTTTATAGCTGCATGTTGTATTGCTAGGAACTTGCTTTGCATCAGCGCTAGTAGTGATGGCCAGCTGAATTGTGTATTCTTCGTCACTTCGGCAGCACATATCGGATCTTCCAGGAGGTTGCTTAATGTCTACAAATAAGCTTAGGAAACTCAAATTATCAAGGTAATGATAAGCAGGTCTGTACAGTGTATTATTTATATAGAAATGAAAAGAAAAAGAAAATCTCAGTAGTAACACGGCGTCTGGAAATGTGCCCGGTATATGGCAATAGGCTCACCCCTATTACATGGGACTCAAAACATAAATAGTGCAAAGTGGGTGTTACATTGTACAGTGACGTTAAATTTATTAAGCACAATATTCACAATTATATGAGTAGGGTGGACAAATATCTATCTATCGAACATACATAACATCACGCCGACCCCGAAGGGGTAGGCAGAGGTGCACACAGAAGTAACACCCACTTTTCACTATTTATGTTATGAGTCTCATGTAATAGGGGGTGCGTCTATTGCCATATACCGGGCATATTTCCAGACTCCGTGCTACTACTGAGATTTTTTTTAAAACCCAGTAATACTATCTTGTCGAAATTTAGTTTAAACTTCAATACCTAATTGAGTGTCATAATTAAGTAGTTATTCAGTTTTTATGCTCACCTGAAGACAATTTTTCTGAACATCAGGGTCTAGACTATTTTTCATCCTGGCAAACAAAGTGCTGAGGATGTTAGCTGACAGGAGTTGTTCACAACCAAGTGGTTCCTTAGTAAGTTCTGCTAGAACTAAAGACGCAAACTCTAAAACGAAGACGTCTTCGAACTGCAGACAGATAACGTTAACGTTGTGGTTACAGTAAAATAGTTGTTACGCTGGCGAGATTCCTAAGGCCGTGCGCTGCGTTAAGCGTGCGCACAGCGCGGGCGCCCGCGTGGTGTGCTACAGTGCTGTTTCATGTAATCTCATAGATCAGAACGCGCGGCCTAATAGGTTACTCTCTTAGGTAGTCTATATACCTTTTTTAAATTGTGGGTGGTCAAATAGAGTCGTAAGTAGGTACTTACAAATCATTTACAGACATTTTTGCAATTTTACATGCTGTAAAATTTAAAAAAAATGTAAAATCAGTGACATTTACATTGATTTGAAAAACACGTGGCCTTTACTTTATAATATCTACGTGATTTTCGAACCGCTCCGGCTCCAATGAACCAACCAATCAGTTGTTTTGCAGTCATGTTCGATTAGGTACTTTTAACGTAAAACAAACTCATTCTAAGGCGTCTGGTAATACGACGATGTTACGCTAATGGTTTCAAAATCACTGAGGCAATGCACCAATCAATTAAAGCGCCGAATGCGGTCTCGTTTCGATTACTTTTAATGTAAAACAAACTCGTTTTAAGGGGTCTGGTAATATGACGATGTTACGTTACTGGTTTAAAAATCACTCACTCATTTCGATTAAGATTATAAAAATCCATGTGCTCGACTCATGAAGACAGGATGCATGACTTATTGCACATCACTAGGTAACGATACACGAACGTTACTTACCCTCACAAGCATAGAAGCAATCTTTCTCAAGTTTTGTGAGTCCTCCAATACTTGCTCTGGTCCTCGTGGTAACTGGCAGAGCTGTGCCAAGGCCTTTAGAGCAAACCTTCGGATGTTCAGCTCCATAGCCTCTACGTGAGGCAGGATGTGTGATATCGCGTCCAAACCGAACAGGATTTCACGGTTCGTCATCTCTTGCGCCGCAAACTTTGTTATTGCTCGGAGGGTCTATTTAAACAAAGGGTTTTTAATGCATTTTTTATTTAGTAATAAGAATCTATGTGTTACTCACCTACTAAATACCTTTACCTACACTTTTAAAACAAACATGTTCCTTGTAGGGCTAGGCCACAACATTGTGTTGCGGACCTCTCGACGTATAATTTTTTTTTAAATTATTATTTATACCTATTAGAATTGCAGTGTGATGTTGTTCTAATGGTAGCGACTAAGGCAAAGACCTTGTTTTCTTAAGACTAAGAAGAGACCCTTTTTCAGTAGTGGACGTACCAAGGTACCTAGCTGATAATTGTCCACCTCTAACTAGGAGATGAAAGAAATACTTAGGTATGTTTAGCCCGTACACAATCACCTGATATAAATCTCCAAAATTTCGTCATACAAAAGTAGTCTCTAAACATCGGAAATAAGGTCTATAATGGAGTTAGTGGCGAGCGGTTACCGGTGACCACTTGGGGAATGATCAGTTAAATCCATACCTGACATATTATTTCAGGTTCTACAGCGTCGAGCAACAATATCGATGTGTGCGCACTTTCAGGGGATATAACGTAAGGGTGGAAGGCCAGATCCTTCTTCTCCGCTGATCTGTTCTCTCGTTCCTTTTGCAAAGGTTTCGCCATTTTGTAGATCAATTAAAAATCAATAGATAAATTTAAAAACACATTTACAATTTGTTGTGAAGATCCTGAGTTGTCAAAGACGTACGTATGTTTTGACAGGCACAGTATACGATAAAATGTTATAAACCTATTATACTCTTTGAATGTTTTGTGGAAGATAACCTTCGTGGTCATTCAATAAAATTGATGATGATATTAAACTCTATGGATTCGGTTTCGGATTAAACGCAAGTTAAACGCGAATAAAATGATAGACTTTCCTATTTAATTACCTATACCTAGGCTTTAGAATGGTGTCGATTGAGATGAACTTACCAGGAATCCTCATCACAATAGTCAACTACTTAACTTACGCAAATGAGACAAAAATCATTCTTACACCTAACTCCTTTTTCAAATCCTAACAGAACAGGCAACTAGGTATTATGGGTATTATCCATGTATTTAACAACCGTTATAAAAAAAATGAAGCAACTGTCAATTCAACCACAACTGTCATTCAGTCAGTATATTTTTAGGTTTATTTTACCTTTATGCATAGGAAAAATATATTTGTGCGTCTTATAGGTATTTTGGCTAGGAAGTTTAGGGTGCTGCAAGAAGTATGGATTTTGCCGTGGTGGGGCAGTGGGGGGTTGGCGACTGTACCTCTCTGGACCTTAGATACTTTGGTGCTGCTTCTCAAACTGTGCTCCACCTGTACTCTGGCAGCTGCGAAGGTGTTCATCCCGCCTACTATGAAGAGCTTACACGGAGAGACCGTCTTAGTTAGTGATATTTACATTTATAAAAGTTCCTTCAGTAAAAGTAAAGAGGTTTAGTAAACCTCTATTCAATGTTCCCAAACGAAGGGGAAGGTGTTTTCCAGATCAACTTACCTAATTGCATTTACCCGCAGAGCTACTAAAGTCTGGAAGTTTGGTAAAGTTGTTTTGACGTAGGTTACAGGAGCAGGTCACGGCATCGGAAGGGAGTTGGCAATTCAGTTCGCAGAGTTGGGCGCCACTGTCATATGTTGGGACAACGATGCACGGAGAAACAATGCTGTTGTCGACGAAATAAGACTAAAAGATGGAGAGGTACTGCCTTACTTATACACCTAAGTGTGAAAAAATACACACATCACATCACACCTTTTTTTGTCGCTGAAGGGGTAAGCAGAGGTGCACATTATGGCACTGTACTGTACAATATAACACCCACTTTTCACTGTTTATGTTATGAGCCCCATGTAATAGGAGGTGAGCCTATTGCCACATACCGGGCACAATTACAGACTCCGGGCTACTACTGAGAAGTTTAAAAGAAAACCAGTAGGTAATACTTTGGCGACCCAGGACTCGAACCCGAAACTTGCAGTCGCACTTGTAACCACTCTGCCAACGAAGCAGTATAAAATACAAGGTAGGTATAGAATGTAATATAGGGACTCATAACATAAATAGTGTAGAGTGGGTGATACATAGTACAGTGGCATTAAGTGCCGTAATGTGCCTACCCCTACCTCTGTCTACCCCTTCGGGGATAAAAGGCGTGATGTTATGTTATGTATATAGAATGTAAAAAAATAGAAGGTAGATATTAACCGATGGTTTCTTCTGCTCTTTAGCTCAAATTTTCGAGTCTGTTATGACGATTCTGTTATGACTACGAAAGTAGTCCAAAAGTTCAGCAAAATATTAATAGTCTTGATAGTCTGATTTATTTCTCAGTGTTACGGTTACACAATAGACGTGACGGCTCGTGAGCAAGTAGCAGCACTAGCACTGCGCATGCGACGCCAGCTGACAGATGTATCTATGGTGGTCAGCAACGCAGGGCTTCTGACCTGTGCACCCATCAGCCATCTGCGACAAGACGCCATTTTGAAGCTCATCGAGACCAACTTGCTTTCACATTTTTGGGTAAATTGATAGACTATTTTTAGTATTTATTTTCGTCCTGAAAATAGCAGCTGCTTATATCATAACAGATCTACATAGGTCCCTCTGGTTGCTTAAAGTATGTGCCTTATCCAATTCCATCAAGGACCTTTTGCTTTCCAGGTCATTCAAGCGTTCCTACCCAATATGATAGAGAGGCGGCATGGACATATAATCGCGATAAATTCTAGCGCAGGCCTGATGCCCTGTGCCGACATGATTCCGTACTGTGCAGCGAAGTTTGGACTAAAAGGTTCGCATAACAGTGGTAACCATTTGGACCTGCAAGTTTACTGAAACAGATTTTGGTGAAACACATCAAATAATAAATTACCAAGACTAGATATTTGGATAGTTATGTGGTTAATTTTAAAAAACAACGAAAATCAGCACGTTGTAAAAAGTGCTTCTACTTCTTATGCTTTTTCTTTACTATTTCCACCCAGGCCTGATGGATTCTATAACAGAAGAGCTCAGGCTGGACACGTGGACGAAGAACATCAACACCACCTCAGTGTACCTGGCGACTGTTGCCACCGGCATGTACCCACAACCATCGCATCGCTTTACCACGTGGTACTCCGAAATTACGGCAAGGCAAGCTGCTAAGACTATTATTGAAGGTATTTTCCACTGGTTTGTTTATCCACTCGACTGCTATTTGAAATTGTGCTCATTTTTTAGTAATAGGTTCACTAGATAGTGTAGTTGTTGTAATCAATGTTTTACCATTTCCAGGAGTCCGCAAGAACTACAGAAATATCAGCATACCCTCATTCATGAAGTTCCTAATCGATCTAAACAACCTTATGCCATTCAGAATAAGAGTTATTTTTTCTGATTTCTTCAACATTCGTCACAGAGGATGGTTTTGTTTTTGCTGAGAGAATCTATATTGGTTCTCGGCTATCTTGTAAGCCTAAATATCCAGATATATGTGGATAGATTATTCAAGAGCTGGAGTGTTCATAATTCTTCTTAAATATGAATTTCGTGAAGCAAATATGAAGCTTTTTACTATGGTGAGAATACGTGTGGAAAGTTACTCGACATCAATGTGTGGCGATCAAGCTTTGTCGATTATTCCATACAAAATTTTGACATGGAAGTCGAACTATATTGCCTAGATTATCTGATGGAATAAAACTGGAGTGACGCTCAATTCTCACCTCATAGTAAGAAGATCAGAGAATATACTGTTTTTTTTTGTATTTCAAGTATTGGCGTTAAAAAAGGAGCGCGCAGTTTAAAAATTATCGTGAAGATTTTTTATGCTTGTGTTTTCTAGCTGTAAAGTATTCTAGATTCTAGATAGTACCTACCGATCTCAGATTCTTTTACAATAACTATAAAATAAAATCATGTATGAAATTAAATCGTTTTATTTTGATCACACGAAAGAAATATACTTACGAAGACATAAAAATTAGAGACATTGTATATTTCTGTTTTACATAAATAGTTATGGAATATAAATCGTTTTTAATTAGTAATAATAGAGGAATTGTCGGGTAGATGACTAGATTTTAAAGAATGGTTATAATCGAAAATGACTTCGTCTGATATATGATTTAATTTATTTAATAGAAGTCAAGTCACTGTCTTTTTACAGAAAAGGGATGCAGGATGTAAAGTATAACATCATCCACATTTAAATATTTGCGTGTGAGTGAGATGGCAGATACCAAACTACATGTTCCTTTGAGTTGTTTATTAGGTATCTACTTGCCCAAATTAGAAGTTATTTTCGACATTCGTTTTTTCTTTTCATTGTATAACATTTTTGAATAGAATATGTCGTAAAAAACTACCCTGTTGCCTTATTATTTCTAAATCAAATATTTTTTCGACTTGAATAATACAAGAACTACACGATTCATTAAATCTAAAGGCACATTTGCCTACAAAATTTTAAGTAAAATCACAGAATTCTTACATAATTATACACTTAAATTAGATACCTGTAGTCGGTTGCCGCGTAAACAGATAAATTAAATGTGCGGTGGTGAAATCGTACAAGTAGATATGCACAAAATAAGCTAAAGAGAGAGGTCATTTTAGCTTCTCTCTTATTAATTTAGTTTAATCATCACTTTATTGTTCAGTAACCAAATAGGATAATAGGGTCGATGAGTAATTTGTATTTTAATGTCCGTATAGTAGATTGTTTAAAAACATTATTACACGTATTTTATATTTTCTTACGGAAACGAATAGTTTCGAAGATATTGATTTGAGATATCGCATGACGTCACTTTTCGAGTACGATTTATACTCTAAAATGACGTAGCTACCTCCCACTCCTAAACTTTGATTCTTTTTATCTAAGTATTGTACAACAATACTGATTTACTGATTCTAATATGACAAAATAAAAAAATACGTGTCTAATATTTTTTCATTATCCAACTGATTAACTAATTAGATTTTTAATTTTGATTCCTTGTCATTATCCTTTTTATTGTGTAATATAAGTGAGACATTAATTATATTCTACACTCACTCACGTAACAGTTCAACGATCAGTGAGACGCAGGATGTTCGCTGCGTCGGTTCATGACTATAGAGTCCTGACGCCGCTGGAAACTAGTAGAGTTACTATAGTAAATTTACGTTTCTGCTAAACTCACTTTAAAGTATATTTTCTGATTAGCTGCATAATAGGGTAGTTTCCTAAATTTTATTTTAATGTCCGTCTGGTAGATTATTTTAAAACATTAGACTCGTATTTTTTCTTTACTCACAAAATTAAATGTTTTTGACGATATATTGATTTGAAATGTCGCGTGACGTCACAACGTGCTACAAAATGTACCACGTTATGACGTAACTACCTCCCACTCCTCAACTTAACGCCATTTCATTTAAGTTTTGTAACTTAGTACGAGAAAATAATAAAATACGTGTCTAATATTTTTTCATTAGGTATCTAACTGACGGACTAATTGGATTTTGAATTTTCTTACCCTGGAAACTAAATACAGGCATGTGTAGCCAATTTATATCTATTCACACTTTGTCCACACTTCTCACAAATGGCAATTTCTATATGTTCTTTCAAATGATGTTCCATTAATTTTGCATCTATAAATTGTTTATTACAAATATGGCATACTGTAGTTTCACTCTCATGAAGTATTGAGTGACGGAATAATGAGGTTCTAGTTGCAAAGCTACGTCCACAAGACTCGCATAAATGACGCGTTGGTTCCGGTTTTGCTGTATGAGTCTTCACATGTATGTACATTTCTTTGCGATCTGTTGCTGTTATGTTGCATATCTTGCATCTGAAACAATCACATATTAATGTTTAATTATAGGAATATTTTTCATCATTGTATAATATTTAAAGTATTTGAGAAGACTTGACATTGTTTTTTTATTATCTATGGTTTTAGGGACGTTTTGTTTGGGAACATGTCAGCCCTGTAAGGACATATTTTCTTGCATCTAACATACTTAACCCGTTGAAATTCATCCCCTAAATTTGTTCATATAAAAGTTGTCTCTAAACATTGGAAATAAGGTCTATAATGTAGTTTGTGGAGAGCGGTCACCGGTGACTGCTTAGGGATATATGGGTTAATTGACTTGACATCCTGACCTTACTTACTCGAGAGGTATAAGTGTTAAATCTTACATATTAAATTCAAGTAAGCTTAAAGTTATTAAAACAATGCTGATTTAAATGAGACCAAGACAATCTAGTTAAAAAATACATTAAGGGTCCACTATTGTATAACAACTGACCTGAGTTTCACAGGTTGCTAGATATTTTTTTTCTTTAAACTGTCAAACACCAAGCGGTCACCGGTGACCGCAACCTATTGTTCTATAATTGTGTCTACAAAACCGGTACTCGACGAGTTAAATAAACTTAAAATAATAGTGAAGTAATAAAGGCTCACCTGTAAATCACCTTCTCAGGCTTTTCATGATCTTCTTTCCTATGTTTGACAAGTGCTTCTGTACCATTGAAAGTATGTCCACAAATATCACACACTCTCTCTTCAGCCTTAACAATATGTTCCTTAGCATGCTTGTATAGTTGAAATCGCTCTTTAAATGTATCTCCACATCCTTTGCATCGGTACACACATCCTACTGAAGCTGCATAATCCATGAGACATGTTTTGTGGTGCTGTATCAGTCTCTCTTTTGATGGGAACTCTTGTCCGCAGTTGCATGTAAAAGGTGCTGAAGTATTGTGTGTAATTGAATGCATTTGCATTTGTTGCTTGGAATTAAACAGCACATCACAATGTATACATGTTCTAGATGCTATGTCACAAACACTCAAGTGCTGCAGTAACTTCTGTACCGCATCATATTTAGTTTTACAACCAAAACAGATAAATGCACTGGATTCTACTTTTACTTGGTTCAAATTAGTTTTGGTATCGGATTCCCTCATTACTATACCTTTTACTATATGCACTTCTGAATTGATCACATCCTTTTCTAATTTAAACTTTTTCGCCAAGTCCTTCTTCTTAGGACTTGGCAATTTAGTGATTTTATTATTAATTTTACTTATTTCAAAAGTGTGTTCATTCTTGTCTAACATGTTTACAATACACGGTATATCTTCCTTGCCAAGGTTGTTCAAGTATTCTTCGATGTTCGCAGTGTTGTTTAGGAATTCTAGGAGCGAATCCGAATTGTATTCGGAGTCGGGTAACGGCTGTATCACCATTTTGTTTTCCGTTGACTTTTTCAACTTTTCTTGCACTGAAGATTCAAGCCAGTCTTGGGAACAGCGGGCATTGAGTTGAAAATTATAAAATTGGTTCAATAATGATACACAGGAAGAACAAATCGTTTTAGGAAGATGATCATTGGAGGATATAGTTACGGAGAGGCAGGCCTTCAATTGAAGGGTAATTGTGGGATTTTCGAGTATGTTGACATGGTCTGACTCGACGTCCAGACATATTCGACAGCAGTTTTGAACATCATCACACATTTTTATTTATTTGCAATAATATTTACTTGGACAATGATTAACACCAGTGTCATTTAGTCGGACGACAAATTGTGACAGTTAATCTTCTTACTTTCTGTTCTGACAGATCCAAGATCATTCTGAATTTCTGATTTCTGAATCACAAGCAGGATTTCAATTTTCGCTTTCGATACGCTTCAAATTGTTTTCATTACTTATTTTAGGTAGTTTATTATTTTTACTGGTACTGAGAATGACAAAAACAGTTTTTTAATTTAAATACTGTAGGTATAGTCCACTGGTAATGTTTCGGAACGGAAACTAAGTAATCAGGATATGAGGTCAAGGTCGTTGAAATTAGGGTACCGTAAATAAATAAATAATAATAAAATGCATGCATGACACATGCTGTTACCGAAAAGATAAAAATAATTACTTAAGTAGGTAGGTACCTACCTTACATAATTTATTTTTCATGGCATAAGCCAGCAGGCAAACGAGCAGACGGATCACCTGATGGTAAACAATCGGCGCCGCTCATGGACACCTGAAATAATAAGGCGTTGCAAGTGTGTGCCTTTCGGGAATTGGGAATTTGAGACTAGAACCTCAAACGGCGAAAGTTTAGCCTGATTTTTAACTATGCTTTCAAATTGTTTGGGGTTAAAACTTTAGGGCCATGGGGTCCAAGTGCACATCTTTTTTACAAAGATATTTAAGGAGAATGGTTGACATTTCAGGTGATCGAAGGGCTGGCCTACTACCTTGGGCAATGGTTTAGGCATTGCCATTCAAAGTTTTTAGTTATTTGTATTTTAGTAGTATATCGTTATCGTATTTAAGTTTAATATCTATCTTTTCACAGTGATTCATAATTATTTAAGTTTATTTTCTATCCTATATCATTTAAGAAAACTGTTGGGTATCAAACATTGATAAACTAACATAAAGTCCATTATAGGTATCTCATTTGGTAACTTCAATTTAATCCTCCTGCTAAATATTTGACTTAAATGATATGAAAAGTCTAACTTCTTATTTTAAATGAAATTATGCACGTACGGAACTTTTACTAACTTTACAACTCGCACTGCCCTGCCCACTGCCCAGCCGTTTCACAGTGACATTAGCATCTGTCATTGTCAAATTGTTAAAATGATAGGTGCGCACTGTGGGTAGGTTTGATCGAACTGAAATTCGCAAATTAATTAATTTACTTATCGCGTTCAACATAATGTGTGATTTTATCGTGTATATCAGCGAGCGTTGAATGTGAAATTCAAATTTTCAAATTTGACTGTTTGTGCAGTGTTTTGACGAAATATAGAAAGACGAGTGACGCTCACTGGTGTTGATGTCAAAAATCCATGTTTTGCGACAAAACATTGTGTAAATTATACACGGAGTGAACAAGTCGCCAGTATGGCTAGCTCCAAAGACAATAATAGTAATAATGAGGCACAGGAATCGTTGTTATATTCTGCCAGACATGGAGAACTGTCTGTGGTTAAGGCGATGTTGGAAGCGAAGGATGAAGGAAAGTTGACTCTTGATATCAATTGCAAAGGTAACTTATGTATTGTTTACTAAAAATAATTCTACTTAGAAATGTTCAATAAGTAAGTGAAATTTTGCTCATAATTGTTTTCAATTCTACCGGTCTGCTTTGATACTTGATTTGATACATTACTAGCTTTTCTCACCACACATCTGCTGTTTTGGAATTTGATAGCACAATAAATTTTAAATAATGCCCTACCTCAAAAAATCTCCTTTTTCGTAATTATCGTAACTTCTCCAAGTCCGATAGCTGTCTCAAAATCTCTGATGTAAGTGCGAATGCCAGGCAATGGGTCTCGAGATCGATTTCCAGGTCAAGCAAAGTATTACTGGGTTTTTGAAAAAAATCTCAGTGGTAGCATGGAGTCTGGAATGGAATTGTGCCCAGCATATGGCAATAGGCTTACATGGGAGTCAAAACATAAATAGTGAATAGTGGATATTACATTGTATAGTGGCGTCAAGTACCATAATGTGCACCTCTGCCTAACCCTTTGGGAATAAAAGGTGTGATGTTATATTATGTCAGTTCCACCAGATTATTCTGTTCCATTCAACAAATTGTTTAACTTTATTATCATAGTGTAAATAAAATATTCTTTTAATTTAGTTTGATTGGTTCAAAGTACAAAATGAGGTCATATACTCATAATAAAATTAGAATTTGTACAGCTGTGAGATGTTTTGTTATCATAGGTTTTTATTTACTATGACATACTACTATGACTCATTGTTCAAGTAACTATGTTATTGTTTACATTTTATAGCTTACAACAAATTATTCTAGATCACTGAACTGTATCTGATTGCTTTATTGTTACTGGCCTCTTAATGGGCACATTTTCCTCAGTACATAATAATTATATTGTTGTATTTTTTTTCTAACAAAAAAAAAAAAATATTTAAAATATTGATGGTATTGTTTAAACTCTTGTCTGTCAATATGTGAGACTATGAGACACAATACAAAACACATTGTGTTTTGCATAGATACCTATGCATTCCAACACTCTATGGATTAAAAATGACCTAATATTACACATTTTAGAAATACCTTATGTCATATCAGTTAACTATTAATCTATGCAACCTTAACCCGTTGATATCCATCCCCTAAATTTGGTCATACAAAAGTATTCTCTAAACATTAGAAATAAGGTCTATAATGTAATGTAATATTAGTGGAAAGCGGTCACCGGTGACCGCTTGGGGATTTATGGGTTAAGCTTGGAACAAGGGCAAAGTCTTAACATGTCACAACATAACTCTTAAGAAACACATTCAAATTACAAAGTTTACATTGCGTTGCATAAGTTATAAAAATCTTATATCAAATATTAGACCTTTATAAAACAATAAGATAACAAATGAAACAGGTAAAACAACTATTTATGTTAATTTGTTACTCATTTGTGACATTTTATTTGTACGAGTTACATAATCTGTCTGCATCATTGGAGATCACTATCTATTAAGTGTTGTGTTTTTTCCGTAGGATAGAATATCATTTAGCAAGTCTAACTAGTTAGTATTGAGAAATGAGATTGAAATATTTGTAATAAGCGGAGTTACAACTTTCAAGACCCAATAAGCCTTTAGACTATCATAAAGACATAGTTAGTGTTTAGTGTTAAAAAACTAGTAGTTAGCTAAGTAAAGGGTCCAATTTACAGTGCCAGATAAATTTTAATGTATAAATATCTCTGAAGATTTGACAATTCTTCCATACTAAAAACTGTGAAATGTCAATTCTATTCTACAGTTTGACGCGGAGAACCTAACGGGTAACCGGGGCTCCGGCTCGACGTGCAGGAGAAGGAACGGGGTGGTTTTTAGTCAGTAAGAGTCTGACACTCCCTCCCGCCTCACCCAGGCGGGAGCAGTCATTTGATGATTTTGTCATTGATTTTGCCTAAAAAAAAATTGTACAGTTTACAATTAACTGATGACTGAAAAACCGGCCCTTAAAGTACATAGTTAACAAGGGTAGAGGTTAATAGCTCTAGGCTAGATATATAGTTATAAACGTTTTTACAATATATCACCCACATTACACCAGGTAGGTATGTTATGACTCCGTGTAATACGGAGTGGCGAGTAACCTATACCAACATTCCGGGAATAATTCCAAACTCCGTGCTATTGCTAAGACATTTTATACAATCAATTGGTTTTCCCCAATTTATTTACGAGTCTCCAAATAAAAAAGAAATATCTAAGTAAGCCATGTACTATTTCCAGGCAAAAATAAAACAAATCTAGGTTGGACGCCTCTCCACTTGGCCACATACTTTGGACATAAGGATGTAGTGGAAGCGTTGTTAGAAGCTGGTGCCAATGTGGACGAGGTCAATGACACTGGCGACTCGGCATTACATAAAGCCTCCTTTATCGGAAATGAGGTGAGAATAATTTAATTATTATTTTATTAAAAAGTTATTTAATTAAAGGTACAATAGTTATAACTACGACAGGTCACTAGGGTAGTAGCTAGTAAGGCGATTACGCATCGTAAACCGCCGCTTTGGGCAAAGCTTGCATCAATGAAGAATTTAGAGGCCAATGTCCGAAATTAGCTATAGATACTTTTATTGTGGGAGAGCCATGTTTCGGTACGAATGGGCCGGCTCGATCGGTGTGATACCTCGGCCTCACAGAAAACCGATGTGAATCAACTCAATTGCGTTGTGTTTCGTCTTGTGAGTGAGGTTACCGGAGGCCGAATTACCCTCCCCAATCCCTGAATCAACAAATTCCTAATACTTAAAATGCCGATAACGCACTTGTAACGCGTCTGGTGTTCCAGATGTCCATGGGAGACGCTGATTGCTTACCATCAGGTGATCTATCTGCACGTTTACCGGCTTATCCCATAAAAAATTGTTAAAACTAGTTCTATTGAGTTTCTGTCAAACACCTAGATCGATCCAGTAATTCTGGATAAGGATCGGTGATTAATATTTGCCTTAAAAGCATTTGATTAGTTTCTGCCGCCTCCTACGCGGCGATGGATGGATGGATTGGAACTTTCCGTGTCGATCAACGAAACATGCCTTCTATATTTGGTTGGCACTCCCTAAATCATCGATCGGCCTATATTTATACTTAACAGAAACAATCTCTTTTGAACACTGTTGACTGTGGTCCTTATATGTTTCATGGAATTTTTCAAACTAACTTTATACTCTCTGCTTATGGCGCTGTTCAGAAAACCTACATCTAAAACTACAGACCACAGGTCAAGCTACTCCTGTTAATAATCTTTAATAGATTTTCATATATATTGTTTGGTGTTAAGGGCGGAAATCGAATGAAGTTTTTATATTAGGTGCGGAAAGTTTTTGTAACTAAACCTTTTTTCCTACAGGAACTAGTAATCATTTTACTAAAATACAAAGCTGACGTCAATATAATGAACGGCGAAGGTAGGACGCCATGTGACATGTCTAAGACGAGAGACGTACAAAGATTGCTTGAGGCAGCCGGGAGGGCGGAGAGACACGAGCGGGAACTGAGGCTACTGACTGCCGCCAAAGACGGCAGGATTGATGATATTCAGGAACTCGTAAGCTATATTTTTATATATACATACATATATACCCTTTGTAAAACTAAGTGTTTTGTCTAAACTTAATCAGACATTGTTAAGCAGACCCTTAGTTATTAGTTCTCAGTCACGCGACGCTTAAGAGCGGCTCAAAATGCAACTTTATTTTCTACACATTATATAAAATATACATTTCTCGCGAAGCGTAAAATCACTAGCTTCTTTAAGCATCTGCGCGTCGCTTCTCAGTGTGTATTAACCCTAAGGTACTGAAAGTATGCGAGGCGATTTTTGTACCCCGGGTGACGGTAAACCCTTTTTACCGAATAGATACAGTATTGTAATGCTCATTGTTGACAGTCGCCAACATTTGTTACTAAGAAAAGAGGAATAATAAAAATATTACCTTGAAATTATCTAAATTGATAGACGAAATTTTATATCACTTTAACTCGTCGAGTACCGGTTTTGTAGACACAATTATAGAACAATAGGTTGCGGTCACCGGTGACCGCTTGGTGTTTGACAGTTTAAAAGACATATAATATTGCATATTGCATTACAATCACCATAATTAGAATGTTTTTGTGTGATTTTCATTTAGATAAACTGTGAATTAATTTAACTTGTTTTATTGTGACAATGTTTTGAGAAAAAGGAATAATAAAACATTGACGCTGAAATACTTAAACACCTCAATTTAAAGTCTTCCTTAAGTATACCACAAATTCTTTGTCAAATGACACAGATGCCACGATATTTAAATACAATTTGAAATTGAGTAACCTTTCAGTATTCAGGCGTAGTCACTTATAATCATTTCTTAGCATCAAAATGAATAATAAATTATCAAATACATATCTCTTTTCCACCCCGTTCCTACTCCTGCTCTTCGAGCCCGAGCCCCGGCAACCCGTTAAGTCCTCCCCGGTTCCGTATCGGCATCAGCCCTATTGGGTCCCACCCGTGGTGGTCTGACGGCTCTTTGAGGCGCGCTCGCAACGCGACGCGCCGTACGGTCGGGTCTGGTTCTGATCGGGCGGCGAGTCACCCATGCTCGCCGTACAGATACATATCTCTAAATAACTCAATAACTAATATCTCATCACCATCATTTTATTGTTCCAGCTAAGCAGTCCAAACCCTCCAAATATAAACTGCGTGGACGCACAAGGTAACACGTGTTTGCACTGCGCGGCGTACAGAGGGCACACTAGACTCGCCGTGTTACTATTGCAGAATGGAGTCGACACTACGCTTAGGAATAATAGTGGTTAGTACCTACACTAAAAACTTAACATCGAACAATCGAACATTGTGGTGGTAGCCAATATAATACCATACAATGTCTATATATAAAAATAGACTTACTTTTTATTAGTTATCTTAGTTTAAAAATACTAGTAATCTCTCCTACGTCATGTGTGTATTTACAAACAAATCATTCACACTTCACACCCAGAACTGCAGTAATAATTTGTGGACGAATAAAAAATAATTGTTTTCTAACTGCCCGAAAAACTTATTAGAGAAGGTTTGTTGAGAATCCGAAAACGTCATCATTGTTGGAAACAAATACCTAATCCATCATTGAACCGACATGACTTAAAACGCCAGTGGCGCCATCTAAGTAACGCAAATTCTCATAAGCTAACTCCTGATATGTGTACACAGGTCAGTTAGCTATAGACATGGCTAAGGACACAGAGATGCGTGAAGTGTTAAATGTGCGACCGGTGCAGCGGTTACAGAGAACTGCCGCGAGGTTCGAGGGTCCGTTACTGAAGAGGTCACGGTTCTTGGGATGGAGACCGGTTTGGGTGAGTTGAAGAAAAGAGAAAATCTTTTCAATTTTTCGATTTCGACACATAGTTTTAAGTCTATTTGCTACTAGACTATGGACTTCCTTACAAAAAAGGGTTTGTATATAAGGCCCATATTTTCCATAATCTATGCTTAATAGTCAAGTTAGAGACCTCAATCCAAATCAAACAGAGAGCCAGCTTGATCGGTCTGTCTAATGTGTCCCTTAATCGTCAAGAACAGACCGACAATTATATATTCTTATTCTAACTACTCTGTTGTTATTACATGGTTGATCATGCTCAATAATAATTTAACTTATTTTTATTCCAAACTTAGATATTTGACAAAGGATTACAGAGTTATAAACAAGTGCAAAACTAAATAAAAAATCCTGGTGCTCTTAGCCAAACGCCACTTTAGCGCTTGTCTACAAAGAGAGTAGAAAACTAAATGTATGGGGATGACACTGACAAGTGTCAAAATTTACGTCAATGCCATACAAGTTTTCTGTTCTACATGTAGACTAGCGCTAAATGGCATTTGGCTACAGCTGTCTGAATAGAATAGAGTGTAAGCCAGTATGTCCCCAGGCGGTCGTGCAGCGCGGCGTGCTGCTGTACTACGGCAGCCGCGCGGAGGCGGCGCGCGGCGGGCCGCACTGGCGCGCGCGCAAGTACCTCGACGCCGCCGCGCTCTCCGCCTCCGACACGGACCCCGCCGCCATACTGCTCCGCTTCAGCGACGGAGACACGCATCGACTCGCCGTGCAGGCCGAGCGAGATGTGCCGGCGTGTAGACAGGTCCGTAACAGAAAAGTGATACAAACAAATCACAGTTTCTAAAGTTTATGGTTTATGGACGAAAAACAATCAAATTGTCCTTTTAAAGATTATGAAGGATTACACTCGAATACTGAAAGGCTACTCAATTTTAAGAAGCACTTAACTATCGTGCCATCTCTGTCATTTTACAAGAAATTGTTGAGACAGAAGTATACTAAGACAGAACTAAGCGTGGGAGTGATACCACGGCTCCACAGAATACCGACGTGAAACATCGCTTGCGTTGTGTTTCGTCGTGTGAGTGAGGTTACCGGAGGCCCAATTACCCCTCCCCCCATTCCTCAATCCCTGAATCCCCAACAATCCTCAAATTCGTAATCACGAAAGGCCGGTAACGCATTTATAACGCCTCTCGTGTTCCTGTTGCGACGCCGATTGCTTACCATCAGGTGATCCGTCAGCTCGTTTACCGGCTTATGCCATTAAAAAAACCTTAAAATTTAGTGGCTTTTCAGTATTCGGATATTAGAGAAATGAAAAAATTGCCCAAGAAAATCGACCTACGATCAAAGCGAAATTAAACTGTTTAGTGAAGAAAACCTTGTACATTGTAATTTGAACTTACGAAGGTTTGTGTACAATTAATAATACTGTAAATACTTAGTTTTCGCAAATATTTATAAGATAGATCAAACTGCCAGTGGCGCCATCTAATGTAGCAAAAATCTAAGGTATTTATAAAAAAACGGTTGAAGAAGTATTAAAATTAAGAATTATAATTGTCGTAGCAATGGGTGACTGCGTTGAACGAGCACATTGCGTACTCCGGCCACTATCTATGGGCCGGCGCGTCACCGGACTCCGCGCGGGAAGCCACCGAGGACTTGGAAGACGAATGTAAACCTTTGGGTAAGAAGCTAAACCATAAAAATTACATTCACTTTTTAAAATGAATCCCACCTTTTTTCTCTTGCTGTGACTCTGCCTAGCAGACGTTTAGCGTTGTAATTTGACAATGGGTACGGACTCTAGTTTTATATAGGTAGTCATACTTGATAAATCTCTTTGTCTTCTTATGATGATCCTTCATCATTCCATGCAGATTTTCCACTTTAGGATAAATAAATGGGCTTATGAAGAATGTGCTGGGGAGTAATTTATTTCAGACTCCTGATTTTATCACAAAAAGTCTGACAAATTTAAGACATTCTTCTTACCCTGGTATAAGTGTCCCATTACAATTTGTTCACTCAAAAAATTTGTATAAGAGATTGTATATCATTGAATGATAAACATTAAAAGATATGGTATGTGTCCCAGGCTCGATGCAGGACGCGCTGACGGCGGCCACCAACAGCCTGGCCCTGCTGGACACGCAGCTCCGCGAGTGCGCCGCCATAGTGGCCGCGCTCGACAAGTCCGTCAACGTCGGCACCTCGCTGCATCACTCCGCGTACATGGTCAGTCACTCGGTGTCCCTTTTTTTTTAAATCGCGAAAATTATCGAATCTCTCTGCTCCCGCTTACGTGAGGCGGGAGGGAGTGTCAGACTCTTACTGACTAAAAACCACCCCGTTCCTTCTCCTGCACGTCGAGCCGGAGCCCCGGTAACCCGTTAGGTTCTCCGCGACTTCGAATCGGCATCGGCCCTGTTGGGCCCCATCTGTGGTTGTCTGATGGCTCCTTGAAGCGCGCGCGGAACGCGCCGCGCCATACGCTCGGGAGGCTAATGTCACGCAATATTCCCAGGCGGTCACCCATCCAAGTACTAACCGCGCCCAATGTTGCTTAACTTCGGTGATTTAGTGATCGGACGAGAACCGGTGCTTTCAACATGATAGGGACGTTGGCAACTCAGTGTACCTTAGGGCGCGTCCACACTGGCCAATGTGCTGCGAATGTACCGCAAGCCGTTTGCGAGCTGCCCGCGCCTGCAACTCGTACAATGTTCGTACAAATAATAATTTTAAATGCACGCATTCATTTGCAGAGCATTCGCCAGATGTGGAAGCACCCTTAGGATTTCTGGTAATTATTATTATCATGATTTTCTTCATTATCCAAAACGGGTACTGAAAAAGAAAAAGGAAAATAACAATGTAACTGCATATAGTCTTATATATCAAAAATAAATTAATTCGACTGTTAGATGCAAAATATATTATTAATAAACGAATTTGACTAGTTAGAAATTGCTATATTAATACTATTTTACTGTATTTAATAAAGCTATCTATTTCCCTGTGTGTTTGAATAAATCATAAACAATAAGTACTCGAAGAACACTCAACTTTAAAATGTTCTTATCATTGTACTGAGTAAGCCACTGAAATAGCTCTTAACTTATAATAATGGTGCTTGACTAAACACTTCTAATATACAAATTAAACAATCTTCAAAGAAATCAATGCATATTGGTTTTTATGGTTTTTTTCTGGTTAGTAAACAGTTGGAGCTAACTCTTATCAGTTGTTGCCACTGAGCTCGATCTCCAGCTCTCTACAAATCGTAATAGAATTTAATAATATGCCAGTGTTTTGCTTATTTACTGAATATTTTGTTCTAGCGCTTCCAACACGTTTGTGGTACGGGGTCGGAAGCTCTGTCAGCGTTACGTCACTGCGCCGCATTAGTCGCGCAGGCAAGGGACGCAGACTCCGCCAGACTTAGTCGAGAGGTAACTTAACTATTTAAGACACTACACCATAACATAACGAATCAATGTACAAACCATTAAAAAAATATTTATTTATGACAAAAGTACTAAGTAACTAATGCCTAATTGGCCGAGTGGTTGCCAGTGCGACTGCCGGGCAAGGGGTCTCGGGTTCGATTCCCGGGTCGGGCAAAGTATTACTGGATTTTCCAAAAAATTCACAGTAGTAGGTAGCAAGGAGTCTGGAATTGTGCCCGGTATATGGCAATAGGCTCACCCAACATGGGACTCATCGCATAAATAGTGAAAAGTGGGTGTTACATTGTGCAGTGGCATAATGTAAACCTCTGCCTATACCTTCGGGGATAAAAGGCGTGATGTTATGATGTTACTAAGTAAGTAACTTGACCAGTTTCAATCCGCTCGGGACTTACAGTCATGGACACCATTGCACGGGGAACGACTCAGCGAGTGTCGCGTCGTGATACTATGTATTAATTATTATTAACAATTAATAATTTTGATTTCTATAATTTAAATTATATGTTGCGTGAATATGAATTTAATTTTTTTTTTTTTTTTATAATTGATGGGGCGACGTTTGACCACTATCTCACCTGATGGTAAGCGATGATGCGGTCTACGTTGGAGCACGTCGTCCCATAAGCAACCTATTCACTCGGGCCTTGAAGACTCCCAGGTTATACCCTTCAGGAAATACAGACTCTGGCAAAGAATTCCACTCTTTAGCAGTACGCACAAGGAAGCTTGAAGCGAAGCG